AACGTCGGCGAAACAAGTGGAATCAGTTATCGTCTTCTGGTGAGATGGGCCTATAAGTAACTCTTAGTCATACACCCTTTCACACGAAGTGATGGTCATCACAATACAATGCCTGCTTTTTGGCCCACAAACCCACAATTCTAATCCATCCAGCACGAATATCAAGCCCAATCTCCACTCTATTGTGATCCGATTTGTTGCCAATCGAAGCTGGTATCCTCGATGGGGAAACAATAAAATTTGTTATTAAATATATGCAATTTCACAATGACCAGTGGCAAACTAAATGCCAAAAGAAGATCATCTTTGCGTAGTCAAGACTGTTGTATTGGGCGAAGAAGTTCTAGGCTCACCATCCTGCGACCCTCCCGAGAACCTGTGCTAAGTTTTCGTCTGTACCACCGAAATCAAGCAAAATTATACTGAACCAAAAGAAAAGGTTTAGTATATGCGGCAATCCTCCTTCGCTTTGCTGTGAGACCATACCACGAATTACTTCCGACCAACTTTTTCTTAGAAATGGAAATTCATGTGACTATTAGACAAAGCCACTTGTACCTCAACATGTAGGAATAGGCCGGTGAGCTTTCTCGACCATTTAGTGTGAATAGGCTGCAACAATGTCCGCACTATGCCCAGCTAAAGGTGGACAGGGTATCAGAGCCAGCCTCCTTCGGAAACTTTCGGTTAAGGCAAGTAACAGCTGGCCAAGGGGAATCCGGCGTCATCTTTTACAGGGATCAAACTTCAAAGCTCTTCAGTTGAAACTTCTCAATCAAGAATTTCCCGGAGACCAAACCTCTCTTGGCATACATTCACGTTAAAGCCAGGCCTCTCCCAAATCACGCTTTGAATTTTTAGTTGGGTAAACCTGCTTTTTCCATTGCAGTCTACGACACTACTTATTTTCTATTTAAGTATGCCTCGATGTTGGCTGGTCCCGCCTTTTCGCCAGACAACCTTCTGCCGCTTGTCGTCGGCAGCCCGACGCTCTCGAGCCACGTCGCCTCATCTGCCGGTCGGGTCAAATTGGCGGCAAGACTCTCTCGTCTGTCGGGACGGTACCAAGTGGACCGGCATCAATCATGCTCGAGCCTGCGAGTCGGCTTTCTAGGCTTGCAGACAACATTTGCCGCGTGCACATGGCGCCGACGGCAGGGACGGATGCCACCTCTCAAGCGGAAATCCCTTCGGGTCTGCTCTTGCCCAAGCTCGACAGGCAGCGCCCGTCGACACGGCACAGCGCCTACAGCCCGAGGCCATAAATCTTCCCATTCCACCAGACTGAGCAAGTTGGCCAAATTGCCCCAACTCTCTCTCTCTCTCTTTCTCTCTCTTTCTGTCTGTAATCCCGAGCATGGATTGCTCATTTCATCTACACAACAGAATGCATTTGCGGCAGGATAAACAATTTTTCTATTTTTGATTAATATAGTCTGCAACCCCGCCTGAGCAAGACGTATACATATCTGTATATTTGCATATATTCATGTATGTGCATGATAGACAT